ATACATTTTTCATAGTTATTCACTCTCCTGCATCTGTTCAATTTAATTTTGAGATATGGACATAAACAAGAATGAATTAACCAACCGACCGAAAAAAAAAAAACCCTGGTACTCCTAAGAATGGATTCTGATGACTCTCTTCATCACCCTTCTCATCCTCTAGTTCTCACCATTCACATATATACAAATATTAAAACTAAAAATTAATTCGAACAGTTAACATTGAAGAGTGAAGAGGGACCCGATCGAGAAAACCAGTAGTAGTTTGAATAATGGTTCTGCCGCCATCAACGTCGTCTATGTGAAAGAAAAACCCCCTGATGACAATAATGTATGTATATATGCTTATGTAACTGTATCAGCAACCCTCTGACTCAGGTGGAATAATATATATATATATATATATATAACACTTGATATATTATTATTATTATTATTATTATTATTATTATTATTAAATATGAGAATGAGAAGTGTCCTTGATGCTAATAATATGAGCCTGAGTTTCTGAGATTGTTCAGTGCAAGCACATGCAGGCTTGTCCCACAGCTTCCTCAATCTGTGGTTGGCATTTACTTCTTAGACTCTTCTGTTCCATCCCTCTCAAACCCTATTCACTTTTTCATTTTGTCAATCAAATTTGGCCAACTTGACGACCAGATGAGTTTCATTTTTTTTTTTATCGGTTTAATGTAAATATAATCGGGGGAGAATTATTATAAGATTCCAGTGAATGAATGTGATAGCTGAAAAATTTCACAACATCAAGTGATTATAGGATGTCGTAACAAGTTTTACTGCAGAAAATGATAATATGTCCACATTGCTCACTTATTATTGAAATTTTTCAGTCGTTACTTTTCTTCCTTAAAAGCTCGAATATGTAATTTACATGCCCTCTTCAAATTTGATAGGTTTTTAAGATTTCGCTCACTTAAACACAGGTCCAATGTTTATGATCGTTATTATTGCTTCTAATGATTAATCTTCTCATGGATAAGTGGGGCTAATTTCTGTTTTGTATTCTTCTGGATCTTTCAAAATCCATCTTAAGCACACTACCTTTCTTTATCAACTTGTTCCGATGCACAGAGATGGAAGGTGTAATAATTTAGTCCTAAAGTTCACTACATTAAATAATGAAGTATATGCATACGAAGCTTAGGACTAATTCATATGGAACACCAAAGAATTAGACAACGTAGTATATGTATGTATTCCTAACTAAATTTAAGGTTCGAATCCCGATCAAGAGAAATACTCATTTATTATTTGACAGTGTCTCGAATATGATTGTTTCTATTTTAATAGAAAGACACTTATGGGTAGTAGGAAAAAAAAATCTCTTTTAATATAGGATCTTACATGTCCTAGATTTTGATCTTTGTTTATTTTTATACTTCCCTGATCCTAAATATAAAACATGTTTTGTAGTGTAATTTATACTATAAAATAAGTCTTATACTTATTATTGGAGGAGTATAATTAGCTCCCGTTTGGCAAAGAGGTGAAAATTTCCTATAAGCACATTTCACGTAAGTTGAGATAAAACTCTTCTCACATACTATGTCGTATTCTGTAAATTACTATTAAAAAACAGCTTATAAGTTACTTATAAACTATTCTAAACGGGTACTTAATCAATACAATTGAATTGTTATTAAAAGAAATTGGAAAGGAAGAGGGGGGGGTTGTTAGTTGGAAGACGGTTGATGAATGGAAGGGAAGAGAGGGAGTGCACGTGGGTGCATTTAGAGAGCGAGCGAGTGTGGGCCTTCCTCTCTCTCTCTCTCTCTATCTCTTGTTTGTTTGTTGTGAGTGTGTGTGTGGTGCACATGGCATGTGAGGCATTTGCTTCCATGTGACCCCATGTGCCTCTCTTCTTTTCCCCTTGACTTTTCCTTCAAATCCCTCTCTCCCCCTTTCTACCTGATTTCATCTAAATTATTTTTCATTTTAAGTTAATAGAAACACTCAATGATTCATTTTTCTTTGCGAACAAGTTTAGGACATGTTTGGATTAATTAACGATAAGCATTAATCCAAATGCAAACCAAAGTTTGAGGAGTGCGTTAAAAGCTTATTGAAATACTACTAGTTTTCTCAATGTTTGAATTACCTTTTCACCCAGTAATTGTCGGCAATGTTTGAAGACTTTCATAACATTTTAAAAAAAATATTTTTTATACAAGTTGAGATAAATTTTTTTTTTCACATATTTATTTTAGACTCCGTAAAATTATTTTGACGGCATTTAAGATCATAACTTAGATTGGATCACAAAGCAATTTAAATAAACTTTTATCCAATCTTTAGTTTGTGGAAATTTTAATTTCACAACAGCCAATTTAAACGTATAATTAGAGTTGAAATGCTGAAATTTTCAAAGACCATATATAAACCTCAAAATTTAAATAGTAGTATTTTGAAGAATTTATAGTTATCAATTATCTATTCAATAAGGCTCCCACGTTAATATTATTGAGATTTAAATTCAGGCTCTTGTGAGATATAGGCCACATTTTTACCTGTATTAGTATCAAGATACAAACTAATACTCCTCCGATCCTAAATATAAGACTCTTATACATACTAGTATAAGAGTTTTATATTTAGGACTGAAGGAGTAATTCATTTGTTCAGATTTAATTCTTTATATTTTATATTTTGTGTGCACGCGCCTCTTTTTATTAAATGACACACACGCTTACAGAATAGCTTATACATTCTTTAATTAATGAGGATATTTTATATGTTGACACTACTACAAAAAATAGTTTTCACGGCGCTAATTTACAGCGGTTATTAGAAAAAACATTATAAAAAATATGACGGTGGTATTTCTGTAATTATAGGCGGACTTTTAAAGGCGGTTATTTAAAAAACCGCCGTTAAAAGTACTTTTTACGGCCGTTTTTATAAAACCGCCGTAAAAAAATACTTTTAACGGCGGTTTTTTAAATAACCGTCGTTAAAAATCTATCATAATTTTAAAATCCATCACGCGCTAGTTTTCACTTTTCAGAATCAAAGCTCATAGTCCCCCATATCATCCTCACTCTATTTTCTCCCTTCTCCTACATTTGTCGGCGTTTATCCATTGCTTCTATCATTTCTGCCATGTTTTTCTATCACCGTCACTGTTGCTGTTGTCATTGTCGTTGCCTTATCCTCTTCATTCTTATTTGTGAGTTTTTCACCTCTATTCTTTCCGTGGATTTCATAGTTTTGTGGTTTGATATGATTATTTTCTTTGGTTAAAAATATGATGTTTAATCGAGTTTAAAGAGATCTGATTTTTAGCAGATCTGAGTCTTTGATTTTATCTCTATTAAATCTTAGTTGCTTCGATCTGGTGGCTGAAGGTGAAGCTAAGTGACGCTATTACTCCATCAGAATGCTTTTAACTAGTAAGAGACTTCCTTTGAGGCTTTGTTCTCCTGTTCCTTCTTGATTAGTAGGGTGAAACGTAGTCTAAAAAAAAAAAAATTTCACGGCGATTATTTATATAACTGCCGTGAAAGTCACATATCACGGCGGTTCTTAAACCGCTGTGAAATCCTCTATATTTTACGTCGATGGCATAGACGTCGGTCTCAAAACCGCCGTAAAAAGCTTATTTTAACCGCCGTTAAATGTACTCCCTCCGTTCCTTATTATAAGAGACATTTGATGCTTATAGCATGTTCCTAAATATAAGAGACACTTAAAAGTTGTCTTTACTTTTTTGTGTTGATTTCCTATTTTACCCATATTTATTGTCTCCAACTCACACTCTCTCTCCTTCTCACTTCTCTTTCTTTTAAGAATTTACTATTGTTCTCTCTCATGCTCTCTCTCCTTATTAATGGGGGTATTTTTGGAAAAAAAATTATACTTTTTACACATTCATTGTTCTTAACTAATTTTAACTGTTTTTTTGATCAACGTAATTCGGTTATTCGTCTCTTATAATAAGGAACGGAGGGAGTATTTTTTATAGTAGTGTGACTCTTAAATTTAAGAATAAGAGACAGTATTGACAATTAGCTTATATGTTTTTTGAATCCACTTATTGTTTTTAACCAATATTTTTCTACTTAAAGTACCATAAAAATGTACAGAAATAATTTTTCAGTCATTGTAGTTTAAAATTAGAAAAATTTACATAATATTAAAAAATTATAATTTTATATAATTATTTGAAATATCCATTACTACCATGTTAGACTGCAGCAAAAAAAAATAGTGAATTAAAAATGAAATTTGCAAGTTTCATGATGAGAAAGATCGTTGCTGATTAATTGATTAGTGATAAAATTCCTCGCTGCTAAATTTCATCACAAATCTGCTTTTTTTTAATTACCCGATCAATATGTTGGATAACTCTTTCAATGTGACTTTTTCTGTTAACAAGGCTTTAATTCTTGATCTTACATGAGATAAATTAAGCTTTTTTTTTTTTCATTTGACCTAACTACTGTTGACATAATTCTGATTTTTTAAATTAAATATGAAATTTAAAAAAAAAGTAAAGCATGTAAGAATTTATTATTAAATTTACTACAAAAATAAATATCAGAATCATTATTCATTCATCAAAACCAACAAAGTTTTCAGCAGATATACAACAATAATATCTAAAGTAAATATTACTCTTCTATTCCTAAATATAAGACCCTTTTTTATAGTGTAACTTTCGTTACAAAAAGGAGAGGAATAGTACTTACCCCCGGATGAATGATGAACAATTTATTTATTAAATTGTTTTCAGAATTAAGGCCAAACAGAGGTTAAGTAAAAAGTGACGGTGAATTTGAATTTTCTCGTCCCAGGCAATTATTTTGTAGGCTGTCCTCCATATATGTCAGAGATACTTTTGTTTGGCGACCTTCAATTCTTCATGTGCCTATAATATCTTCTTCTTCCCCCTTTTACCCAACTAATAATCTCTCACCACTTCTCTCTCTCTCTCTCTCTCATATTTCTCTCCTTCTTCTTCTTCTTCTTCTGGGTTAGATATGGAGGGGAAGCTTAGTACAAAGCGACGACGTATTTACTCTGTGGAACCCAGCAAAATAGCACAGGCTGAGTTTGCGAGAATCTACTTGAGCCATTTGGTTCCCGCTTTGGTGAAGCTAAAGCAGAACCAGACGCAGAAGAAGAAGAAGAAGATTACAGAAGAAGATGATGATGATCAGAAGAACAGTTGTGAGAATGTTGTGAAGCATGAAGTGGGTATGGCTATGGTGTGGTCAGCCCCACCAGGCTTCGCATGGACCAAAGCCCTAAAGGCCAAGTTTCAAACAGATCACACCAATGCAGCCATCATCAACGACCACCACCATCCATATTTCTCTGCTGCAAACTCTACAACTACTGTTTCTTCCAAATCATCCTGTGTTCATAAAGAAGAAGAAGAAGAAGGGTTAAGAGACTGAGAAGGCTGATTCCAGGTGGAGAAGAAATGGGTGATGATGAAGAAGAAATGGCTCGAGAATTGGAGAGTTATATAAGGTGCTTGCAAATGCAGGTGAACATTCTTCAATGTTTGGCTCACACTACACATCTCGATTAATTTTTTCTTTTTTTTTTTTTTTTGTTTGTTGTTTATTTCCAGATATAAGTGTTTATGTTAAATTATGATTATTCAAGCAATATATGTTAAAAAAAAACACACTAGCTAGCTGCTGGTTTATCGCATATATATATATATATATATATATAAATAGGTTTTGTGTATATAGTCTTATAATTAACTTGTTCATCTTTGGAGAAGAAGCACAGGAAGAAAGATGATTTATGTGAGGACATGAATAATCAAGCAGCTTAAGTTCTGTCTTCAACAATAATTTACAGCGTGCAACTTTATTTCATCATTATGTTCAATTAATTTATATTGCGATGTGAGGATGAATATGATATATATTTCAAAGTAATTATTATATCGTTTTGATTTTTCTAATCAATTTAATTCTTATAAGCATAGTTCTGTTTCCATAATAATTTAAGAACTTCTAAATGAATTAAAGCGATACTATTTGGATTTTAGAATCAAGTATCTCAGTGAAATGCAACAACAATAAAGTTTTTAAGAACAAAATGAGAAAATTATGAATGAGTTCTAAATATGGAAACTAATCCATCATTTTTCTAATAAATATCAAAAGATGACATGTAAATACTAAAGATTATATAATTAAATTTTCTATAGAGGTGATTGATGAGGACCAAAATAGAATTCAAATTCTCTAGCATCATGTTAAGCCAACTGCAGCTAATTAATCAGTTTAAAGTGTTCATATAAAAAAAATACATAATACTTATCAAGAAAAATCCAAAAAAATCTCTTGAATTTGAAAATTTAAAATCAGTCTTACTTACTATATTTTAATAGTAATGATTACATTTAAAAAGCAAATAATAACATATTTTTGTAGTAATTTTTGATTTGAGATTTTGAAATTCAAGAGTTTTTTTTTTTAGATTTTTCCTATTTATTATCCTTTTAATTAATATTAAATGACAAATTTTCAATTTTTATTTGGCCTTTTTTGAACTGCCAGTAATATGATGAACACATGCTTTAGGCCTCATTAAAGCAATCCACTACCTGAGTGACATGTTTGGGACCAGTAAAAGATAAGGAAGCCATGCTTCATTATTATGATTTATGAATCATCCCATCTTTAATTTGCCACTTTTATCATTTCTTCAAATTATGTATTTAATTTCAAGAAATAAACTGTCGAATTTATTGGTAAGTTTGGTCTTCATGATAAGTTTATATATAACTTAAGAGCTTTCCAGTTCAAAAGATGAAAAAAGAAAATGTAAAGAATCCAATTTAATTAGTTGTGCAGGAAAAAATCCGGCCCCATATATTAGCCTTTATGAGAAAATAGACGCTTATACGTTTGATACCATCTTGTGGGCTTAAAATCAACTTGATTGATACCTAGAATGATAAAATTAAAAAATAATTTTATGGACGAGAAATATCTCTTCTACTATTATCTTCGGTCCTAATTATAAGACCACATTTATATACTACAAATGAGATTTTATAATTAGGATAGAGGTAATATTAAATTTTCATAAAAAAACACTGTTGAATAACAATAAAAGAGGTATGAAAATATCGTAATCTATCTCTTTTTTTTTTGTATAATTGAAATCAATGTCTTGACCAATTGGACCCTGCTATTTGGCACAAAAATTAATACTACATCCGCTCCTAAATATAAAAGATATTTGACTAATTTGAGTAGATTAAAAAAATAAATTAAGCTAGTTATTTGTAATAAATAAATATTGTCTTTCTTGAAATATCCTTACTAATTAAGTATATTGGCTAGAACTACTATTATTAGAATGATTACTTTAGAAAAAAAAACGTAAATATAAGAGATAAAGTGCAATGAAATCTTATATTTATGATCAAAATAAAAATCAAATGAGGTCTTATATTAAGAATTATAGGTATTATTAATCTTTTTCCATGGCACGATAATATACTACCTACTGTTCTTATTATAAGAGTTTGTTTGGCTTTTATTTTGATCCTAAATATAGAGCCCCGATCCACCTTGTATGTCATATTAATCTATTTTTTTCAAGATAGTTTTTAGCTAATATACTTGATTAGTAAGGATATTTAAAAAATAACATATATTTATTACAAATAACTAGATTAACTAATGTTCTTAATCAAGTTTGAAATTCAAAGGCAAATATTTTTTTTGGTTGCCCGGAGTATTCTTCTACCGAAAGGGTAAGAGACTAATATCTTGGGATACTGATAATGTTTTTCTCCATACACACCTTCCTGAGAATTAAACCTGGAATATGATGTTCAAGATGCCTAAGTTCTTTTCACTTGGACCAACACTCTAATTGGAAATATTTTCAAAGGCAAATATGTTATACCAACTTTCTATCTGAATTAATTACTAATTATGCTGGCCCATTGGTTTGGGCTACCGAGCCCGTTAAGAATTTGGTTCCATAAAATCGCTATTGTCACGTTGATGGAGTTTATTTGGTAATATGCATCTTTTTTTTTTTAATTTGTTTAAAAGACATTAGAATTACTTAATAATCATACATAAACACATAAATTTACATTAAACAACCTAACTATGTTTGAGGACGCAACTGGAAAACATAGGATCAATATAAAAAATATAAATCGCACAGTAAGTTTCATGATATGTGAGCTATAAATAGTAGAACTTATTTCTTAAATTTTACTCCCTTCGTTCTTATTATAAGAGACATTTGATGCTTATGGCATGTTTCCTAAATATAAAGACACTTAAAAGTTGTCTCTACTTTTTTGTGTTGATTTCCTATTTTACCCATATTTATTGTCTCCAACTCACACTCTCTCTCCCTCCCATTTCTCTTTCTTTCAATAATTTAATTGTTCTCTCTCATACTCTCTTCCTTATTAATGAGGGCATTTTAAAAAAAAAAAATTTTTTTTATACATTGATGTTCTTAACTAATTTTAACTACTTTTTTTATTACGTAATTCGTTTATTCGTCTCTTATAATAAGAAATGGAGGGAGTATAAAATAATTGCACCAACCCTAATTAGGTTGCAAAATAAGGTTGAGGAATCAATAATTGTTCTAAATCTGATGTTTTTTTGGGTAAAAAACTCTTTTGATTTAAGGTCACCTGCTTATTTTTATAAAAGTCAACTTAAACATAAATCATATTATAATAAATGAGTCTTATCTTAACTTAAATTTGCAAAATTAAAATAAAATTAAAATTATTTTTATCATCTCTAATTCAAACATATCCTCAGAGGATGATCTAACTCAGCTCCAAGCACCCAAAAAAAAAACTTTTAAATTATAAAAATATTGCTATATTCAGCCCCGAAAAGCACTAATTATTTGTCTTCGAACTATTATCGCTAAAAATAATAATAAAGAGCATAATAAAAAATTATTTATGATGATATGATGACTGAAAGTTAATGTCAGCATTTCTCTGAGTGTGTGAGGAATTAATAAAGTGTAAAACATTTTCTATCAAAAGAAAAAAATAAAGAGTACAACATAACGGCAACATTTATAATAATTTTATGAGAAAAAATGAGCAAAAGTCCAAATGATCCATCACGTCTGAGGGATTGAATTTCTGAGTAGTAATTATTGGTTTTAACACGCAGGATACAAATGCGGGCAATAAAAAGAATGCACATGGCAAATAAAAGAATATTGCACCTAAAAAAATAAAAGAAATTAATCATATCATATCATATTATTTACAAATTATGAATAACAGTTCGTTTTCAAGTTTTGACGACCTATGCTTACTTCTTTCCCCCCCTACAGTTCATGCATCAGTAATACACTAATGCTCTCTATGACTCATGCTTATTTTACAACTATAAATAGCTTCATTTTTTTTTATCAATGGTATTATTAAATGGGACGATGGTATGCATCATAATTTATATAACTGACTGCACACTTAGTAGAATAGAGATTGAATGTTTTATTGCTGCAACCACAATAATATACTACATGGATTCATAAATTATATACTACCTACTAATAATTAATACAGAAGCTATTTAATTAATTTAGATAGATTAAAAAAGTCAAATAAACAAATTAATTATAATAAATGTAACATGATTTTCTTAAAATATTCCTCACCTGTATAACATTAAATTATACTATTTTCAATCTTAAATATAAAATCTAGTTTGTAAATTATACTACAATCTTATATTTAGGATTAAATCTGACCTCTCGACTAATTCATATATTGACCAGTGGTAGCATATAATTTCCACTTATTGGGTGGCTTGACAAATGGTGTGAACGCGAGAAATGACCGGATTGATGTTCATATTGGCAACAAGTGCTTTTATGTGTGCTCATTTTTAACGCCAATTGGTCAATTTTAATTGGGCTAATTTTAATTACGTTTATTTTTTTTAAAAAAGTACTCGTGATATTATTTTATAGGATGCTTATTTGATTGTGAGGTAGTACCCACTGTTTTTGTTTGGTCCACTTAGGTTTGCCACAACAAGCCAGCCAACCACCAACCAACCACCGGGTGAGTGAGTGAGTGACATGCAATAACTATATTGTTAACCTTATATTATTGTTGGTTATCTATCGCTTAACGATATCGTTCTTTTCCTTATGTTAATGAGAATGTTTGAATTTGACTATTATCTTTATTTTTTCCTGTGTTTTAATTTGTCTTTTTCTTTTCCCAATTTTAGGTGAATCTACCCTTCTCTTATGAGATATGAGTCATATATACTATTATCAACTGAACCAATCTTTGATAACAAATTTATCTTTACATTATCATATATTCTCATTACTATGTTGGGAATGTAGAAATGGGTGATAATGGAAGAATTGACACTGTATTTTAACTCGAAACATGAAGATTTTC